TGATCTTGCTCTCTGGTCTTTCCCTCCACCCTCCAGGTGACTGCTAGCTGCCCAGCTGTGTGTGAGTGCCCTGACCGGCCCGTTTGCCCTCCAGGAGTGAGCTCTGTGCCAGATGGATGTGGGTGCTGCAAGGTGTGTGCTGCACAGCTAAACCAGGACTGCAACCCAATGAGGCCTTGCGACCACCACAAAGGGCTGGAGTGTAATTACGGCAACGATGTGACCATGGCCTGGGGCATCTGTCGAGGTGAGAGAAAAGGGAATAGTGTATGTTTGAAGGGAAGGAATTTCAATCCGAAAATTGCTACTTTCTACAGCTAATTGCACAGCTCACTCAAGGGAATAGTATTAACACATGGTATAAGTCTCCTATATTCAAAATGAGTATGGTGAACTTTATTTGCTGTAAACGCAAAAAGGTCTTCATAACTCTGTGTTCAAAACATGTCAAGTAAATGGATCTTAATGGAACCTCCCTTCCATGAAGTCAAACCCATCACAACTCCATGATCAAGTGTAAGCTTGCACATCCGGGAACAAGACAGGGGGTATTTTAATGAGTCGTAGATGTTTTATGGCAGCGACCGGGGGTTTCAAAGATAAAAATACACTTTCCATCTGCACCATGCCGGTGTTGCCCTACAAACTATGAATAGCAGGTTCTTCCATGCAAGGAGTCTGACACTTACTGTCTCCTTATTTCCACTGACCTTTCTATCTTAGTGATCCTCTGTGTGATTGTGCATACTGTTGCCATGTGAAGTCATTGTGTTTGGGTCAGGAGAATATTTGCATGTGGTGATCTCTTCTTAAAGCAATACTTCACCCACAAAAAAAGCCATTTGTATATCAATTGCTCACCCAGTGTTTCTCTGACATCTTGGAGTAAATCTCACTTTGGAAGAATACCAAAATGGAGAAAAGTCTTGATGAGTTACAACATTGCATCAGTCTTATTTATTCAGGTGTATGCCAACCTCTTCCCACAATTTTCAAGTCAATACATGTAAAGTTTAAGCTGAGTAAATTGTGTCTTTCCAGCTAAATCAGAGGGACGCACATGTGAGTACAACGGCCGGATCTACCAGAATGGCGAGAACTTCCGTGCCGGCTGCAAACACCAGTGCACCTGCATCGATGGAGCTGTCGGCTGCGCTCCTCTCTGCACCAACAAGCTGCCGCCAGCCTCTCCATCCTGCCCCTACCCACGGCTGGTCCGGATCCCCGGGCAGTGCTGCTTCAGTGTGGACTGCCATAAGGGCACCTGGCAGCTCCCCCCTAAGCATCAGGTTTGTGTCATCATTGTTGTTGCATGATTCAACAAAGGACTCTCTAAGTGACAAACAAAGCACAATTTGGAAAACATATTTCATGAAAAACTAAATGTAATATCAAAGGGTGGAGGTGCAATTCATCGCCTGCCACTTTGGTGTCTCCATATGTAGAAAACGATTAAAGTGTTAGTAAGAAAATTGTATTTTTTAAGTAATAAAAAAAACAAATTGTTTTTAAATCAAATGAATAGCAGTTGAATAACTAGAAATACATGTTATTTATTTGAGAAAAAAAAACATTTAAATGTCCTTATACCTAAAATAATAATATCAGATTGCAGATTTCTTATTTTGTTTCTTGTTACAAAAAACATTGAGGAAACACAATTAAGAAGCTTGAACCAGAGAAGATAGGAATTGAAGGTATAAAGAGGAGTAAAGTCTCTCCTCCTCTGACCCATTGCACTGAAGTAATAACCAGGGCACTGTGGTGATAACAGTGTGAAAAAAACATATAAGATAGGCTTGACTGCGGCACTGTCTCATCTTATCTTATTTATGATCCCAGGTGCCTCCGCCACAACAACCCCTGCCCAAACATCAACACCATATGGAACATAATAACGAGCTGGCCAACGAGCTTACAGACGTCAAGTCCAGCGGCTGGGAGAGTGAACATGGCTACAAACACCTGCCTGGTGAGAGACACTCAACTGAGGGGCAATATTTAGTGCTAAGGATTACTGCTTTACTCACATTTTTGCAAAAAAGCATCATCTGCAAAAATAATATATTACAGAATTTAAAAAATTGTAAATATTGTGTATATTTATTTAAAAAAAGACACGTACGAATATTTAACATTTGTACATTATCAATTTGGGGCCAATTTAAGATATTTTGCTAAAAAGTAAAGAGTATTTTACTACTTTTCTGTACTGTTAGTCCCCTTGTGACCCCACAATGGGGAACAGACCCCAGGTTGGGAACTACTGGCCTAATCGATGTGTATGATTATTTATTTGTTCTCCTTCCACCTCTTCGTGGCTCCTCAGTGTGGAACCATCTAAAGAAGAAGTGTCCCATCCAGACCACTGACTGGTCCCAGTGCTCCAGCAGCTGTGGGATAGGCGTTTCTTCTCGCATCACCAACAAAAACCCTCAGTGCAAACTGGAGAGAGAAACGAGAATCTGTACCGTGCGGCCGTGCCACGGCCTCACAGTCCCCGCCAAGGTGAGGCACAATAAACTTGATTTGAACTGAAAGAGAGACAGACCGGAGTCATAGGTCGAATATTCTCATTACTGCCAAGATAATTCCTTATCAGAAAATCTTATCTCTTTCAGAGAAACCTAAACGCCTTGAGATAACACGCATCAATGGGGAATTAATTCACCTCTTATCAATCCATGTCAGACTGCGCAGGTTGAAACAATACCTGCTCAAGTTTGCTCTGCTAACTTGTTCCTATATGTGCTGCAGAGAGTGTAACGTTAGACATTCTGGTGCTGAGTCAATATGCTCTTAGTGCTAATGCCATCTTTATCCCAAGTTTAAGAACAGAGATTATTTTAGCGGTACTTTTAGGAAGCTCTGCATCCAGTGGGAAAAGGGCAGTGCTGTTCTACTCAGTGTTTTGGTTGTGAGCAGGCGCCTTTTTAAATATAGTCCCCCACCCCCGGCATTCCTGCCAAGCAACTGTCCATAGCTTTTCCCCTTCTGTGTACTCAGAGTCCAGGGAAGTGCTGTGTCTATATTAATCCCCCATGTTGGACACACACTAAGATCTCTTCTCACTGCTCTATTGGGCTCAAAGCTCCTGTGCCAAGAACCCTCATAGGTGTCAGAGAGTTTAACTATCAAACGTTGAATTAATGTTTAATCTTTGAAACTAATCACTTCAATCTAAAAATAATCCCTCATTCAATCCCTGTTTCGGCATTACGAGTTGACGTCTGGCCCTCTTAATTTGAAACTAATGAGTTTGAGGGCAAAGCTGCTTAAATCTGCTGTTATGTAAAACTACAGGGCCGATAAAAACCAAACCTCATTAGTTTTATTTTACAAATAAAATGTTCATGTTGTTTTTGGTGAATTTTGCTTCTGAAGGCAATTGGGCAGAACACAACTCATTCAGACTATGAAACTCACCTCTTTTATTTTTATCATCCAACCACAGAAAGGGAAGAAGTGCTCGCCGGCCCAGAAAGCCCCCGAGCCCGTCCGCCTGTCCTATGGAGAATGCGCGAGTGTCCGCCTCTACCGGCCCAACTACTGTGGAGTGTGTGCGGACGAGCGGTGCTGCTCGCCACGCCGCACACGCACTGTCCCTGTGACCTTTGTCTGCCCCGACGGAGAGCGTTTCCAGCGGTCGGCCATGTTCATCCAGTCGTGTAAATGTAGCAATGACTGTGGACACCTCAACGAAGTGGCCCTCCCGCCACAGCAGTGGATGTATGGAGATACACACCAGTTCATAGACTAGTACTAAGGATTTGTATTTTTTGTTATAATGTGATGAGGTCAACTTTCTTGATGAAGGAAGACGCTTCAAGACCAGGGGCCATTTTTCTCATTTGGTTCCAAAGTGAAGAACACAGGCACCCGCCTGAATGCTGAACAGCAGGCAGCGAGGGCCGCCTCAGTTTAATTTAAATCATAAAGGCAACCTTTGATTTTATTGTGTGACCAGAGTGGATTGTACACTTCTGTTCAAACAGACATGGGACCTAAATTAGAGCCCTGAAGCACCCCTGGACTTCCTCCTCTCTGGATTGATTGCTGGTTCAGGTTTTGAGGATTGTTTTTTAACCTCTCTGATCAGCCTGAGGAGAAATACTACAAGAGCAACAAAGCACTTTGTGTAGCACTGAAACGTAGGAACTATAACTATGACAGCAGTGCACAAAGGAGTACTACACCTCCTACAACAGCCTGTGATGGTCAATAACTCCATATCCCATAATGCACTATGACTACTCAGTGACAAGCAAAATAATTTGTTTTGCAGCTTTATTTAGAAGGGAAATGTGGACTTTTTAAAAGATATATATGTCAGCACAGTATGTTATGAACATAAGCACAGACTTAAAGGATTGTTCCTTGTTTTGGCATGCTGACGTGACAAGCATTTTTATATTTACACACAACGAATGACACTGTTCCTGACTATTTAAATGATAAGGGACGCTATCTGGAACTGACAAGAGCATTCAGCAAGGACTGGACCAATGCCATTAGATTTCTTGATTATGCATTAAATGCAGCTTAGAGAAATGTCTTACTCAAACCTGTATTTGAGAATTTATTTTGGATCACTGTATTCTGTAAATATATTTTCTTTATTTGGATCCAAGTTTGTATTGTCACATTTATTTACTCTTATGGATTAAGACACTTCTGTGTCGCCATCACACGTTTATGTTGCTTCATCCATGTGATAAAACTGGCTGCTCAAGTTTCATTCAAGGTTTATTTTCACTGAACATGTAGTTTCAAACATGGCAGACAGTTCACCATTGCCGGAACATGCTACTCAACTGTTAGGGAAAACAGTGGCTATGTCTTCAGACTATGATTATAGCACCCTCTGCTTGTGAGGATAATTAACTACAACACATTTTGTATTTTATGATACTTGTTTAGTGTTACGGTATGTGTAGTGTGACATCTGAACACATCTGACTGCTTAAATATGTAAACAAAAGGAAATACAACACCATTAATAAGGTATAAAAAGTTTATTTCTTCAACCAAAACAATAAATCCATGTTTTAACATGAAAAACACTAAAAACAAGCACCCTGCGAAGAACAAAAAGGTTTTTATCATTATGAACTTGCCACATATATAGTCGTAGGGGGACTTTAAAATAAATGTTGAGTTTTTTTTTTTTCTCATCCACCAAAATACGGTCACACCACGGGTCACACACGTTCTCCACTGAAAAGACACCTCAGACTCATCTGGACTGTTCAACTGCAAAGAGAAAAAGCAATGTTTTAAGTATTTGAGGGCACAAAATATATGTACTTTAGAAGATCAACATCTTCACTAATATGTGTGATGATAATGTTGACCAGGTTCATAAACACTGCCCCCCCCAATTTTGTCAAACACACACTGATTCCTGGCTGTTTTAATTTAGCTTTTCCTACCAGTAACAGAAGACGACAGCAGTTAGGCTTAATGCTTTCACCATGTTAACGATGAAGACATCGACATAAAAAACATTATACCAGTGCACATGTACACTGACTGGGAGTAAAGCTTGTGAGTGAGAATAGAACTTACTGTAGGAGGAGATATCAATCTCCTCTGGTAGCTCTGCTACGTTGACTTCGAAGCGGTCCTGGACGTCGTTCAGGGTCTTAGCGTCAGCCTCGTCAGACACAAAGGTGACGGCCAGGCCTTTGGTACCAAACCTGCCGGCACGGGCCACCTGAGGTACAAAGAAGATCGGGCTCAAAACAGGCTTAGCTTAAAGGAAAAAAAAAGGATGCCGAAAATGAAAGGGTGGGTATAACCATGGACAAAGGTTAAAGTTTGGAATTACACTTCTGATTGTAAAACATAACCTAGCACAATATTCTAATATCGCAGTTTCCTGTATCTTTTTATAGAGATGAATTAACAAAAAAGGCAAATTGGGTAGATCGTAGGGGTGTAACGGTATACGTATTCGTACCGAAACTATTCGGTATGGACCCTTCGGTTCGGTTAGGGACATTATTAGTGCCAGCAGATCTGCCCTTTCCGCAAGCAATGTGGACAAGTTAATTTTTCTTAAAAAAAACATGAAAATACAATGACAAGCAAGCAAGTCCTAATGTCAAGCTGGCTGCTTATGTGAGTACTAGTACAGTACAGTTCAAGTACAGATTATTTCAGTTCATCGAAATGCTGCACCTTAATGTTTATTTTATTATATTTTGTATTTATTTTAGTGAATATTCACAGTTTAATAATAATTAAAAACCCAAAACAAATATCTTATGTTTTGTGATCATTTTTTCTGCTGTACCGAAAACGTACCGAACCGAAATGTTTGTGAACCGTTACACCCCTAATAGATCGGTGCCCATGTATGGGATTTGTGTTTAATCTATGATATAGAAAACAGAAAATAATATAGCTGCACTGACTCTGTGAAGGTATGTGTCAGAATCCTCTGGCATGTCGTAGTTGAAGACAATGTTGACTCGCTCGATGTCCATGCCTCGGCCAAACAGGTTGGTGGCAACCAGGATTCGTCGCTGGAAGTCTTTAAACTGCTGATACCGGGATAACCTGCGGGGGTTAGCGGAAATAAGAATAAGTACGACATTATTCTATATTAGAAAGACTAATATCATCAAGTTTCTTCCTTTTAAAACTATGTCATTTCCAACATAAATCTTATAAGGACATGATATTTTATCAAATGAGTACAGTAATGTTATGGGAATTTGTTATGGTGAGGAACTTTGAATTAGGAACCCTACTGTGGAATTCAATGCAAGAAAAAAAGATTAGAAATAAAAAAAGGCACCTACCGCTCCTCCTGTGCCATGCCCCTGTGGATGGCGATGGCGGGGAAATTCTGCTCCACCAGCAGCTGTGACAGAGCCACACAGCGATGCACTGACTTAACAAAGATCACCACCTGAAAGGGAACAAAAAGGAAATACTTTCATATTTTTATCCAGGGAATGGCAGATACATTATTGAGATACGGTCTGTAGCTGACATCCACATGACAAAGATTTAACTTTGAATTTATTTGAAGATCAGGGCTGCAAATGTACATTTCTGAATAATAAGCTCTTTTATGAAGATTAAAATGAATATAATAAATATGTTCATAACTGATTCTGATCAAGTCTATTAATAAGTGCCAAATACCTGGTTGAACTCGAGTACATCGAGCAGGTCAAAAAGCTTTCGGTTCTTCTCGCTATCCTTGATCTTGCAGTAATACTGTTGTAAGCCGTGGAGTGTCAGCTTGGTCTCGTCATCCACAAACACTTCCATGGGCTACACAGCAAGAGGAACCAAACGTTATTCTCACATACAGACACATTACAATTCCACTTCATTTTATGAACTTGGAGCATGCTTTGACAAATGGTGGCTAGCTAAGCTTGTTCTCCTGGACTGCAGCAGAGCTAGGAGGAATGACTGTCCTGACCCAGCCAAATCTGCCCAGGAGGATCACTCTGCCCCTCATAAATGGCCACTTATGACACTGACAGCCACACGTGGGCAAAGCTGAGAGGGACTTTGTAACAAACACTGAAATAACTCAATCAAACATGAAACATTATATGTTGATGATAACTCACATCCTGCATGAACTTGCGGCAGACGGGACGGATGTCTTTGCTTAGCGTTGCACTGAACATCATAACCTGTTTCTCATGGGGTGTCACCCTGAAGATTTCCTGGACATCACGCCTCATGTCTGTTGAAACAAGAAATAAATACTTCCATAATTATAAATCACTGCATTTGAGTTTATCTTTGTATAAAAAGCAATAGAGATGCTTTAGCCATACTCAATATCTCTATAAATTAGGTAGAAGGTCTTTTTTTTAAATCACAAAGTAATAAATGTACAATTAGATGACAATGAAAACATACCAGCCAAGACACAATTATTTTTTCCATTAAATGCACACTAGCTCTTAAATATTAAATGAAAGCTTCAGCTTATTAGAAATGATGTTATGGAGAAAGAACAAACATATGAGTAGTGGGAGAGATGACATGACACTATGATAAGTAAGATAATACTACACAGGAAACAAATAACTAAATCCTCCCTATCTTACATACTGCCAACAGTCCTTCACCAAAGCTACTTTCCTAAAATATCACTTTAAAACACTTTGCCTCCTACTCACCAAGCTGCTCCAGCATCCTATCGCACTCGTCCAGCACAAAGTGTTTGATGTTCTTCACGTTGAGGGTCTTGTTGCGGATGAGGGCCAGGGTACGTCCTGGGGTTCCTACGACAATGTGAGGGCAGTTCTTCTTCAATACTTCCTCGTCTTTCTTGATGGCCAGGCCACCGAAGAACACCGACACCTTGACAGTGGGCATGTATTTGGAGAAGCGCTCGTACTCTTTGCTGATCTGGAAGGCCAACTCTCGCGTGTGGCACATTACAAGGACAGATACCTGGAAAACAGAGAATCATGACATTGGTGTAAGTGATTAAAAAAAAGTGTTGAGTCCATCTCCAAAAAAAATCGGTAGTGATGATTCATCCATACATGTGAGCAGCACATACCAGTGTTTCCCATACATTGATTTACCCCCACAAATAGAATCAAATTCTGTGGGAAACACTGCATACTCTTCCAATATAATTTTTGTTCTCAACATTTTTTGGCGAGTAATATGCACCCAACTTAATGTATACGTTTTATATAGTAGTTTCTTGTTTTTTCCAGGTAGTTTTTGTGATTTATGATAAACATCTGATTCCATGTAGGATGTGTTGTATTTAATAAATACCTAGTTGGCTTGTCTTGTTCCCTGTAATAGGTTTTTAAAACATGTGTTCTTAACTTTGTTCAGGGACATTGTCTATGCAATGTTGAGTGCATTGGGCATGCGACCTGATCACCAAACAGAGAATGCAAATTTCATAGCAACAAAAAGGAATCCAGAGTAAGATTTAATAAGTGGAGTCAATGTTAAACACTCAAATAAAAAAGGACCCCTAAGCAGGTAAGACAAGAAAAAAAAGATATGACCAACTCACCTGGCCATCTACAGGTTCTATCTGTTGCAGGGTGGCAAGGACAAACACTGCTGTCTTTCCCATACCAGACTTGGCCTGACACAGGATGTCCATGCCCAGGATAGCTTGTGGAATACACTCATGTTGGACTGAAAATTTTAAAAAAATGGCAATTAAGGTGAGTGAAATTATCAAACAAACATGTTCTTTCTTCTCTACTTTATAACTGCACCGGAAGTAGTAGGAGTATGTTTGGAGGTGTAGGGCATAAATTGGTGGATGTAGTTGTAAGCTATTCACCTTCTGAGGGATGCTCAAAACCACAGTCAACAATTGCACGGAGAAGCTCGGGTTTAAGGAGAAAGTCTCTGAACCCTGAGCTGTGAATGGATACGTATGACCCCTTCACTTCCTTCTTGGTTGCTGGGGTCCCACTCTCGGGAACTCCCTGGGGCTCCTCGTCCTCCTCATAGTCCAGAAGTTCATTATCAACGTCTGTCTCGGCCATCTGTAAGAACAACATGTATATAAGCGAATCTATATCTCACAACGATAAACATACATCAATCCTCTATTAAGTGCAAGCTTAATATTTGAGATGAAGGCCAGGTGGTCATGGACTATTTAAATTGTGAATTTCTTCTTACATTAATAAATGTTACAATGCTTTTTGTATATATACATTTGGTATTCTCTTTAACATTCTCATTTTAACTTATGTGTGATCATGAATCCGCTCTTTACAAAAAGCATATAACTCAGAAAGATGTCGATCCTAGCTTGATGCTAAGTTGATCAGAAGCCTGCTCAGCTGTCGTACATTTGGATCGTTTGGCGTTAGCAGGCCGCAGCCGTGTTTCGCATCAAAATAAATGAACTGAGTCTTTGGAAAAGGCAGTTGAACATTAACCTGTCGGTTCAAAACACATTATAAAGTGATCCCTTTGAGTTATTACAATTGGGTTGACTGAATATGATGGCCGACTGGTGTTATCCTCGTCCTTCTCTTTCATTCAAGCCGGCTAGTTAGCATGCTAGCAGCTAACTATGAACGTGACTGACGCATTCATTTAACAAACAATAAAAGCAACAGTACTGTCTACCGTATCTTACTATGTTACTTATATAACATCGCGTCGTTCGCTGTGTAGTATTGTATATTGGACGAATCGTCCAAAAACAAAACTATAACTAGATAACTATGGCTAATTGCCTAACTCAAAACAAAGCTAATGTTAATATGGCTAGCTTGGTAGCTACCAACGCCAATATTAGTCCCAGCTGTAGCTAACTCTACAACGAATTTCACGCATGTCTCGGTACATTTTAATGCAGCTGCATTCTGGTGAGTTTGTTGTATAAGAATAGTATACATTGAATACAACGTTACCTTGCTGTGATAGTTATGTGTCCCGCCGATGTCTATGTGCGTACGGAGCTACCAAGGATTCACAGTAGAGTGCGCACACATGTATGGTATGTTCAGGTACAACTCGAAAAATCCGACGCTCTCTTTGCGGTGTGAACCAATGGCTGTACAAAATACCGTGTTAGAGGTTTTGCCCGATATCAACGGAAGACCTCACGCAACAAAAATATAAGGGGAGTGATTTGTGATGCTAGACAAAGCTCTGATTATGCAAACAGACCGGTCCATATTCTTAGAACGAGAATTACGTTATTTGCGATAAAACATGAAGGCATCTGTCTCTAAACAACAGCGTCTCTAAATCGTCCACTTTTCCAAGGCTGTGATTGGTCAGAATCGTGGAAGTCGCTGCAATAACCAATTTGGCCACTTGGGGGCAATACAGTCAACCCATTTGGGCAGGGGACAGATGGCTTTAAATGTACTTAATACAAAGGCAGAGAATACCCCTCAAGGCCTGCCTAAGGTAAAAAAACATTGCTATTACTAATTAGAACTGGATTAAGGATGCTCTCTTACCATACGATATCATTGTTTTTACTATTGTGGAAGGTCACAGGATCAAATCTGTATTTCCAATTAATTTTCAGCCCTCAGAAAAAGGGGAGTTGAGTATTACTTTCTTAAATGTCCCATACTGGGTTAACAACACTGTTATGTGCATTACAGGACAACAAATGCAGGCACATACGTAGGTTCTGAGGCTATAACATTGCCTGACCTGCATTTGGAGAAAAAGACACTTAATTAATGAAAAGGTATACCTGAAATCCATGCTTCAGCTGTTAACTTTTCAATTGTTTGTGCCTGAAGTCTAATCCTAAATTCAATATCGCCTAGTGGGCTGTAACCATGAACACAGAGACGAAAGAAAAGAAAAAAAATTACAAGACAAAGTATTTTTTGAGGGTTTTGGGGACTACTCTGCATTATTGTAATATGTGTCTTGTACATTTTTTCAATTTTTTGTTTGTTTTGTCTGAGGTAAAGGACTACATCGGACTGCATGCCCTTAATTCACCACTATGCAGTGATATGCTACCTGCTGCCAATCTCAGGAAAAGCTCAGTTTACACAGAACCACTACAACTAATGTTGGCTGTTAGTGATACAATGACTAGCAAAAAAAGAACACAAAGTAATTGTTTTTAAAGAAATGACACTGAAAATAGCAATACAGAATACAGGCGCTTGTAGTTATGACACTACTACAGTTAGTTGCTATGACATTATACCTCACAGAGCCAGAGATTGGCACAATAAGTTATAACATATACATTTTTGTCACATAATTAATCGTTTAGTTGCCATGCACAGAAATCCCCTAAAGTTTACACCGCTGTACGACACCTGCAGGCCCTGCCTTCCTTCTAAATAAAGCTCAACACTGATTGGCTGTCTGTGTTGTCAATCCAACGGAATCTGGCAGTCAGAAAAGCCCATTGGCCTCTGACATGCCAATCTAATCCAAATCTGCCACCTGATTGGTGCGCCCCGCCTGGTGCTTAGCAGAAGGCAAAGGACGCCAGCTCGGTGTGATTTACTCGGTAATGAGTGATGCTGCCGTTTTTGCCATATCCCCGTTGAACCACAGGCTACATCGAACGGCTGCCATGCTATTTTAGCGGATCTCTACGGAAATATTGTCCTCCTTCAATTCAAGTCCCACACACGGGCCTCTCCAGCTGTGCGACGCGGCGCTGTCTCCCGGTTGAGCGGCGGCAGGACGATGGCACTGCGCTGGACCGTCTCCCTGCATTTGTCTTCGGTGGTCTATTAAGATTTTAATTAGCCGATAACAAACACACCTTTGACATTTACGACGGGCCGATGTTGGAGCGACTATAAACGCACCGCTCTGATTATGGAAAGGGAGTCCAGGTAGGCATTTATTTGTTTATTTGAGGTGTTTATTTTTGAATGGGATGTCAATGTTATCGTGTGGAACCTATTTACCGGCCCAATAGCTTATTAATTTGTATACATTAAACGTGAAAACTGCACAGGCCCACATAGCAACACACTGTTGGCTGTCGGAGCTCCATCAACAGCATCCGTCTGCTCCATTTATTTCAGGGAAAAATTCCACTGTACGGCATGCCAGCGGAGACACGGCCCCTTCATTAGGCTGTAAACCGTATTTACTGCTAAGGCATATATCTCTGCGACCTAATTGTTAATGTCGTTACACAAGCGTATTTTGGTGAGGGAAGCCGGGACATTTGCTGCCGCACACAGAGCGTTATGATGTGTCATTTTGGCCACAGATGTTGAGCCATGAGTCGGCTGCAGAGCATGTAGGCCTGTTGTTCAGGCATTCTCCAGCCACAGCAGGCCGGGATAACGAGCTGTCATGTCCCAACAACCCAGGCAATAGGATTACAGGCTCACCAGGTCTGAACCGCACACTGTAGGAGCCAGTGTCACCTTTAAAAATGGCTTATTTTCTGTTGTGACAGCAGAGGGGCTATTATCCACCTCTGTGTTTCTATACAGGTTTTTGTGGAACTGTCCTTGATATACACCACACACTGGACTCCTTGCTGTAGCTAAAATTGTCATTGGTGTTACTTTATCCATCTTATCAAGAGTGTCTATAGCAGTAAATCCCTTTTTAAGTGTTTGGCTTGTAAGACTGGAAGCCAGCCTTTCTCTGAGTACTGAAAAAAACACTTCCTCAAATGACTGTGCTTTTAATCTGGGCCAGGCACATATACTGTAAACCTCCCAAGTGGAACAAACTGTAGGGAACTGACACAGCTTTTGGGATATGATTTGGAGAGATTAAGGATACTGCTGACTTCACAAAATGAAAGAGCTCTCTCAGGTCTCTTATCTCCCCACAACAGTGGGGAAACCATTCAATAAATTAATCATCTTACTCTGTTGACTACTATCGCTTAAATTCCCCATGACTAAGAACATGTACCACAAAGTAATGGGTTAATCATTTCCTTGTATGAGAGTGATATTATTCTCAAGTGTATCTGTGAAATCCACTCAACTTTTGAAAGGCATCTCACACATTACACCAACAAGGAAATAGGTATCTGATTCTCACATCCTGGTGACCTTGTTTGCCTCGAAACTTCTTTATCAGATCCCATGCACACAAAATACTTCATACTACATCTGTGACACGCAACAAGCACACCCAGACTCATTCCAGTTAACCTTTTCCTATGCACTCTGTTGCCATATTATTCATCCGTGTGAGAGCCTGTAAGCTAATAGGATCTGGTCAGGATAAACAGTCTCAGATTTGTGTGTGTGTGTGTGTGTGTGTGTGTGTGTGTGTGTGTGTGTGTGTGTGTGTGTGTGTGTGTGTGTGTGTGTGTGTGTGTGTGTGTGTGTGTGTGTGTGTGTGTGTGTGTGTGTGGTGTGTGTGTGTGTGTGTGTTGTGTGTGTGTGTGTGTGTGTTGTGTGTGTGTGTGTGTGTGTTGTGTGTGTGTGTGTGTGTGTGTGTGTGTGTGTGTGTGTGTGTGTGTGTGTGTGTGGTGTGGTGTGTGTGTGTGTGTGTGTGTGTGTGTGTGTGTGTGTGTGTGTGTGTGTGTGTGGTGTGTGTGTGGTGTGGTGTGTGTGTGTGTGTGGTGTGTGGTGTGGTGTGTTGTGTGTGTTTAAATGTCTGTTTAAATGTCTGCATGCGGGTTTGGCCTCCAGCAAGAACGGGAGGAGGGATATCATCTTGCAGCCGTGTCCCTGAGCTCTACAGTTTGTCTGCCTGCTGCTGTCCAGGTTTATTATCATCTGCCACTGTGTTTGGTTGTTGAACAGGGACATGCACAGGAGCCACGTACAGGTCACAACAAAAATGGACTGATTGATTTCCAGCATGTTGTCCTAAACAAGGCCTTCTTTTTGATAAATTGTTCAAATAAGGGTGACACTATCTTTTCTTGAGCTTAAAATTAGATCTAATTTCGACTCCACTACTACTATCTTATGTCAACAAGAAACCTTGTGATGAAAAATCAATCATATGACTCTTTTTTTTAACTGCCGTTTGCAGCAGCAGTTAGACAATAATTATCCCGTGCTGTTATTACAAAGACTAACACTGTTTATATGCAAGTTTTCAGTTTTTCAGCTTCAATGCTGCTTGAAAACATCGACTATCTGAAATATACCAGATTTAGCCTTTCGACAAAATATCAATCCGTATCGTTTCGTAAATGAATAAGGAATTCATGTTTTATCTAGTGCTAACTGACTGTTTGACTAAAGGGTGCAGTGTGATATCGTTGTAAGTCTTTTTGTTGTAGTACAAAATAAGGACAAAATAAAGGCCTCATCTACCAATGAATTACCAAGTGATCCTTCATATGTCGCAGCCCAAGCTGATGTCTTCATACGTCTTTTTTCTGAGACCAATAGCACTAAAGAAATGAGCAGATGAGAAGCGTGAACCAGGAAACTAGTGCATTAGTCAATACAAAAGTCATCAAATAATTTTAGATCAATTTACTTTTGCCACAATCAGCTCTTTAATATATCAGGGGCCTGATTTGGATGATTGTGCCGTTTTCTCTCATCTACCTCGACTATATTGCCTGTGCTAAAAGGCAGCACCATCCACACAGAAGGTGTTCAAAGTACATTTGAACTGTTTTAAAAGTTGATTTTGTGTAATTAAATATTATCCCACAGAGCCTACAGTATCAAGTCCTTTCCTGGCTCTGGCTTGTTTTTGCTGGCTGGCTTGTGGGTCGACTGTTGACTGTGCACTGCACTTCATCTTCTCTGCTGACACATGGAAACATGGAGCAACTTGATGACCTGCTGCTCACTACGACTGCAGCGCTCCTCTCTCTACGCCATTGTTCATGTAGGCTGCAGATCTGTGACTGAATCCGTGCAGCCTTGCAGATTTTACCCTGACTGAATCGTGATCTCATTTTCCAACCGCTGCAGGTTGGATTTAAAAATCCAACATGCAATTTATGTTACAATAATGAGGCTGAAATATGCATATAGGGCCATTATAATCGTGTAGAGGAGCTCTACTCTGGATATTACCTTCCCTTCTACTCAACCAGTAGCTGATATGTCGCATTGCCTAACGTTGTTTCCTTAGGCAAACATTAGGCAGACTACTCGGAACCCTTCTGCAGGTAAACCTGATGTATCAAAGGTAGAAATACTTGTTCTTCATAGTGATATGTGGCGAGTACTTATCCACGAATGCATACCTTACAACACATCTGAAATGTGATAAGGATTATCACAATTAGAAGCAGATTTTTTAAATGGGTCACAGCTATAATGGTTAGAAAACACTGGTTCAACATGTGTAATGTATACGAGTACGACGTTGTTATGTATAATCCTAATCTGAAAAGAAATGTAAGATATCAGATAAATGGATGTAAAGAACAGTAATTTCCCCTGAAATGTTGTGAGGGTCCAAGCATAAAGTGGATGCAAAACAGTACTCAAGTACTTGGGTAAATGTATTAAGTTACATTCCACCACTGTTGCTGGGACAATTGTTAGTGGTTAACACTAAACAGTAAGGACTCATATTTCATAAGCAGATGGCATTACTATAATGTGTATAATTTTGTATGGCTATAATTACCAAGATATCTGTGAATCAAGAGGTGGACGGGTGCAGACATGCTGCCTCTGTACAAAAGGTCGGAGCATTTCATGTGTTGTTGTTTAAAACAAACATGAGGAAATGATTTATCGCAGAGTGGACATATGTATGATTAACAACACAGACGTGTTACTGAGAGAGAGAGACGGGCATTTTGAAACCTGTGTTGCACACCAAGCGGTTAATGATGCTTCCTTTGCACAATCCACCTGTAACGTGATGAGTCAGCTGATGGGCCGTGAAAGAGCCGGTGCTTTGGAGTAAACACATTTAGATGTCAACAGACTTTTGAGGTTGAGAAGTGGTTTAGTTTGTATCATTCCCTAAGGAGTCCTGGGCTAGTTTTGCATTCAAATTAAACAAACACAATATTCAAATGGATTCATTTCTGAGAAGTTGTTTGTGGATTAGTAGTGTTTGTTTTCCCCTCACACAGCCATTTATAATGCTTGTATATATTTGTGTCATCACAATGGCTAATTCAAAAAGCAGCTCAGCTACTCACCAGCATTTGTGTCAGCACTGCTGGGAAAGTATCAAATTAAAAGATAATATAATGAATGCAGCCGGAAAACTAATGTCAGTCATAGCTTTAGCATCACATGCATGTTTGCAGCAGTTATCCTCCATGGCACTCTCATGTAATCCAGTTTTGAGATTAGTGCTTGATAAGTGGATGTTGCAGTTGTTAAATCATGCCTTTTTTAGTTACAAAATATTAAGAAAATATAAGCAAAGCAATGGCCATTCATTGTTGGAAAAGAAGTGAGTTGCTTGCACTTGACAGTAATTGATGGGTTGTGGGGATGGCTATTTCGAGACAATTTCCTCTCAAAGTGGCACTCGGGAACCGACTCATCTGGAGAGGCATACTAACTAAATTTGGAGCAGGAAAGCATTACTCACATAAAGTGAACATTGTCGGTAGATCTAAGGAGCAAAGTCTGGAAAACATTGGTCGTCAGTGTCTCTTCGATTGAACCAAATGTGTCTCCTCCTCATTCAGGCTTAATGTCATCCTTAACTCTCATCTGAAAATCCCAGAATGCATTTGTTGCATGGTAGAAATATAAATGAGCTACCAATTATAATCAACTGTATACACTGCAGTCTGTACATGATGGCTGTTACCGTAATGATGATGCTGGAAGGCTGATGGGTTGTTAGGTTGACATTCCCAGAACACAGAGACATGAACATGAAGCATTACATTGATTTTGATCATTTTCTTTCTTAAACCGTCCACTGTGAGCTCAACAATGGTATAGGAGTGCAACGCTAA